GAAAAAATAATAAATAACCATGATAAATGTATTTTTCTGTTATTGACGGTGGTTTGCCATAACTAGCGTAATCGTGAAGAAGAACATCGCGAATGGGTTGACGACGTCGTTTCTGGCGATAAGCGGCTTTCACCTCATCCAGTAGGTGACATTAGTACGCCGCATTGACGGTCCTTCGATCGTACAGAAAATCGATCAGCAACATATTCTTGGCATTCCAAAACACGGTCGAAAGAACTTTCCCTGCCGACAAACGAGATTTTGCTTTGATCGGAGGTCTCTGTCCACTTTTCCTCCATTCTTTGCTCACCCTTTTGCGTTCTGGGGTGTAGTGATGCACGACGGTCACAAAGCGGTTTAAATCCCTTCTTCTTCATATCTAGTTAGAAACCTTTGACAGATCTCTTTCCGGTCATTTCTGTGTTACTTCGTAAGGAGACGTGGGACCCACCTCACGGACAATTTACTCAACCCAAGCTGTTCGGTAAGAATTGTGTGAACGCTCCCAACACTTATGCCTATCTTTGCTGCAATGTCGTCCACAGTGAGGCGTCGGTTACATTCCACGAGGTTGGTAACGGTCTGACTGTTGGCGTCATTGACACTCGATCGAGGTCGACGACTGTGGCTTTCATTCTCTACAATATCCCGGCCACTTCGAAATTTTGTGGCACAGTCAAATACCTGGGTTCGTGATAGGGTGTCATCCCCAAAAGTCTCGTCAAAATCTCTGTCGATTTGACGCCCTCGTTCGCGAGAAATCGAATAATAATTCGTTGCGCAGCAGACGTAGGAACCTCTTGCTCGCTCATGGTGCTACTGGTGATGATGATGATGATGATGATGATGATGATGATGATGATGATGATGATGATGACAACTGATCGGCGAAGGACGACTTCTACGCGTGTCGACCCCCTTCATATAATAACCACAGCTTAATAAATAATATACAGCTCGAAGAGTCTATGTCGGCGCCTTTGATGTGGCGGTCGAGAACCAAGCGATACGGAATCGTGCTAACTCTCTCAGATTAGCGGAATAGATGGGGCTGGATTAAAATAAAATATTTTGTTTCTACCTAACAGTACCGTAGTGGGGAATTTTAATATGAAATTTGAATTACAATATTACGTGTATGACATTAAAAGTAGAAAATGAGTATTTTAGATAGGAAATAGGTTTTGTACTTGGAGTTAATACTGATTGATTATTAAAAGAAAACTTGAAGAGTAACTAAAATTCCTTTGTTGTAAGCTCCTGTTTGCTGATGTAATCCTTAGAGAATGAAAACAAAAATAAAGATGATTATCAGTAGGGTCAAACTGACCAAAGAGCTCTTAAAAGGGCGCTTTTTATGGTATTTATAGAACCAGCGATTTTAATTAAATCAATATATTATCGCAATAAAGGAATGTCATAAAACAGTATCCATCTAGTACCAAAATAAAGGGTGGAAATGGTGTGAAATAAAATTGCGTAGTTTTTAATAAGTTGTATTGCCTGAGGTAAATGATGAACAACCAACACCAACAAAACAAAAATACCTATACTTATACATATTATAAAACATACCTACAATATAATATACAATAAAATATAATATAGTTTTAAAAATATAATCATTACTGATTTCTCCATATTATAAGTTTATTTTTTGAATATTCCTAAAATTTTGGAATATTCTAACGTATAATAAATTCTAACCCTTAAATATAACCTAAGTACAAATTCTTTCGGAAATGAATGACACGAATGACTAAAAGGTAGTCTTTTAATTAATTCAAAAAGTGTGGTACAAATGTTATTTTTTGTGGATAATTGGTCAAAATTATCTTGAAATATCTTTTCAGTGTTACAAATGAGCTCAACAAAGTTATCGTTTGGCATTTGCAATTGTCCAGATAAGGTATCTTCATTTTCATTATTATATAAAATAAAAATAAATCAACGAAATTATATCCGCGCTTATGATTGCAATACTTAGATACTACCCGTTGCCGTTATTCGTCTGAACGAACGCCAAAGCCGTCTTTTCCGCTGGAAGGCGGGGCATAAACGCTGCGCGATGAAATCGACGCAAACCGTTCCCGCCAAGACAGTTGTGGAGTTGTAACAACTACCTAACCATTCCTAGAACCGCAGTCTGCTCTCTGCTCCAACAGGGTTGATAAACAAAAAAATCCGGTTCGTATTTGAATGACCCTCGTATATTTGCTAAATCTATCCAATTTTCCATATTATTTTCGTGAGTATATCATATGGATGAAAATTTACCAGTTACCATATTTTTATTTTCAGTAATATACTCAATTAGAGTTTCCTTTTGCATTTCGGTAATATTTGCACCTTTTATAGCATTCGTCATAGCTATTAATAATAGCTATAATATATCAATTTTAAGAACATATCAGGAAATTCAGATCTTGGGAGCATTTTGATATAGTTAACACTTGATTCTATTAATTTTTGCGTTACATTGAAACACGCACTTTTTGTAATGTTAAATTTGTCTGCCACCTCTCTGAATGTATTTGTGTTTGCCATGTAATAGAGGCATATATGAATCGCTTTTTTGTGTGAAATTTCAGCCCATCCACCACGGCATTTTTTTCCAATGTTAGCAAATGGCACAATTTCACTACTGAACTTCGGCACATTCTAAAATGGCTTTTAAAATCGCCCTCAGAATACGACGTAACAGTCTCTTCAGATAAAAAGACTTATTTCAATTAAAAAAAAAATTTTAAGACAAATAAATTACTGAGTTGACAAGTACTTATTTGAGTTGACAAGTCCTTTTTTTAAAAAGCCAAGTACCTAATATAGTTCTCAAATAAATTACTTGCATATTGCATCAAATTATTATATTAAAATCCAAAATTTAAATTAGTTGTATTAAAGATTTTTTTTGGTTGAAACAAACAAAAGCACAGCTTGCAGTAAATATTTAAAATTATGCAACCAAATTAATAGAATATTTGAAATATAAAACTACTGTGTTAGTTAAAAATGTGTTTTATTCGAATGAACAAAATTTGGCGATTTTCTTTTATTTATTTGTTTGAAATAACTAGCATATTTCATTGAAACATTTTCGTACTTGTTTTTAGAAAAAGGTTTTGTTGTTTCAAATAAATTATAGATTTGCTTGAAATTTTTTCTTATTTGTTTGAAAGCAATAATTTATTTCCGTCACGAATTAGTTCCTTGGACAAAACAAACAAAATATTTACAATAATTAAATAAACTGATTAATCCAACTAATTTAATAATTTTATCTTTGTTTCATATGAATGCGTATTTTATTATATTAATTGAAGATACGTTGAAATAAATGATTTATGGATTGGATTAATATAAATAAGTCCAATTGTAAAATAAAATTCAGCATACATAAATAACAAAATAGTTGAATTCACTAATTCATCAACATATTACAGTACTTTGCATACTTTGCGTTCCAGAAGTAACGCAAAAATTTGTATTTTATTTTGTGTTGCGTTTTCCCAAAAACGCTAAAATACGTCAATTAGTAGGGGAAGCCGGGGTTAACTGGACCATATTTTTTTATCAATCCGTAAAATATTTATATGTAAATGAATTTTGTTTAATTTTGGTATATCACTTGCAGGTACAATAATTAACAAATGTATCAAGTCGTTATATAAGCATTTATAAAATATCTATATAAAACAGTTAACCCCTACCTAGGGGTTAAGTAAACCAAGACTGGGGTTAAATGAACTGAAATTATTTTGTTAGCAAAATAATTACATGTACTGTTTAAACTTATATTTCATGTTGTATTTATGTAAAAATCAATAATGAATGAACACTATAACTACTCATATCCACCGTAAACCAGATCATGTCTTGGTATCTAGCTCTTGATCCACAAATAGGATGTGGCAGGACTGCAACAATTTTATTTTTTGAAACAAAGCCTTCATCATCTTCTGAGGGGATAAACTTTGTTGTAGAAATGACACGTTTATAAAAATGCACATTGTAACCATCATTATACTGCGCCAAGACCTTCGCAACATAGTTTCTCGTACTTGCGAAAGTTTTCCACAAACTTTTACAACAATGAATTTTCCTTCTTCAATATTTTCCGATTCATTGCAATCATCTGAAAGTTCAAATTCATCTGAGGACTCGCAAAACTGAACTTCTTCCTCTGATTCACTACTGGAATCTAACACTTTTCTCTTGGCTACTTTAGCTTTTTCTAATGACCGAAGTTTCTTCAATACCCTTTGATGTGCTGCAGCCATAACTGTTTTGCCTTTTTTACCTCTAGCGGTAGAATTTTTCTTTGGGCCAAGTTTGGGTAAAGGACGAATTTCTTCAGGGCATATCCTGGACAAGTTATTTCCAATTTCTTGCAATGGCTTGTGCGTAACACCCAGATTATTGTTATTTTGCGTTATTCCATCAGGTGTAACGTCGAGTGTGACATTACTTTGAGCTTCTATGCTATGAGTCTCAGCACTGCATAATCCCGATGTTCCGGATTCAGAATTAAGAGATACATTATATTGCGGCCTGTCGCTAACAGAAGATGCAAGATAATCTTGCTCTGTGAAAATATTTGAGTTAAGTGGCTCTATTCCACTTTTTTGAAAACCTTTCATTATGTTAGATGGGGTGAATGCTAGAGGAAATGCTTTACCCACATTTTCTGATACATCGTAAATCGTTACCCATGGAATATTATCTGGTCTTCCTGAAAAGTTGCTTATAAACTCATTGCATGCCTTATTATAATATGCTTTCAGTGGCCCAAATACAGTCAGGTCCAGCGGCTGCATTTTATGGCTGCAATGAGGCGGGAAAGTTAAGAGAACTATTCCTTTTTCTTTGGCAAAATTTAGAGCTTTAATTCTGCAGTGAGTTTCATGATTATCAAGTATTATTAGTTTTGGGTTTTTTGGAGTGGGTCTTTCATGGGTAACAAAATGTTGTAAGATTAAAAGGAAAATGTCTCCGTTGGTTCATCCAGAATCACTTGCCGCCCCTGCAGAACCAGGTGGTGCACCTTTCAAAAAGTGATCTTTAAAGTGTTTTCTTGGGAATATTAAAAATGGCGGTAAAGCCTTTCCAGTAGCGCACACAATACCCACTAGAGTTACTAATTGGCCTCTCTCTGCGCTAGTCGCTTGTCCTACTTGTTTTTTCCCTGTAGGTGCCAAAACCTTTGGAGGTTTATGTACAGTCATCATTCCCGTTTCATCAATATTGTAGATATCTTGAGGCCCCAAATTATATTTTTGTTTGACCTCTAGTAGATTTTTGAAAAACATTTCTACATTACTCTTATTGAAGCTAATACATCGGTTAATGGAAGTTTGCTCAGGTATTCTGAGAGACAGCTTATAGATTTTTTTTAAACGAGCTAGCCAATCCTCCCCAGGAATTTTGTCTCTCTCCCAGCTGGCTTTCAATTGTTTGTTATTTGCTACAGCAAATTCGTAAGCAAGACGTCGTGTAGATTCGGACGTTAAACCATAATGAATGGCAGCAGCGCTTCTAATATAGTTTACAAGCAGTACTTCCTCCTCATCTGTAAATACTTGTAAATGTTTATTTTCTGGACGAAAGTCAACCTTTTCTGGATCGACAGCAGCCATACATTTTGTCACATATCTTTTTATAGTACTTCTAGGAATTCCAAGTCTCTAGATGCTTCTCTTATAGTGAAAGTTCCATCTAATATTCTTCTACACAGTTCTTTAGCAGATCCTTAGAATACGCTCTGTTATTAGTGGTTCTGATGCGTTTTCGCGGCATTGTCTGAAATAAATGAATCATTTATAACCTGGGGTTAACTGGACCCAGGGCCATTTAACCCCGGCCAGTTAACCCCGAATGATATATAAATAAATTGATCGTATTTTTTTTTATAACCTAAAAGTGTATGCAAAATATCACTACATAATAATACACTCTAAACACGTCTACTTTACTATAAAATTAGTGGAAGCATAAACTATAAAATTTAAAAGGTACAAATCACTTTATTTCAGTCAGAAAATACTTACTTTTGAAGCATAAAATACAAAATTCTACACAGCTTGGTCAATGTGAACACCATCTGTACCATGGAACTAAAAACAGTTGCACCACTTGTATAAAAGATAAAATTGAAGAATAGGCGGGTTATTCGAATTCATTTGTCTCTCTTAAACTAATAGTTCAGTTAACCCTTGGGCCAGATAACCCCGGCTTCCCCTATATAGGAAATGTCGTTTTGTCACATTGCTTAAACCTCTCTTGCGCTATGGATGTTCAAAGTGACCCCCGTTAACAGTTAGGCAATGGGCGTGTCGATGTTCGAATTCATCCCTGGTATTTTGAATTGCCTCTGGTGGTATCTGATTAATTTCTTCTCTTATGCGCACTTTTACGCCCTCGAAGATGTCAGGTCTATAAACGTAAACTCTGCTTTTTAAATAGCCCCGCAAGAAATAATCTAGGGGAGTTAAATCGGGTGAACGTGGTGGCCATTCAATGGATCCTCTGCGACCTATCCACCTATTTGGAAAAATTTCTTGCAAGTAATTCCTTACAGCAATCCCGAAATGAGGAGGAGCCCCATCCTGTTGAAACCAAATACTATCTGCTGGAACATCATTATCTATGTGATTTGGAAAAATAACTGCGAGGGCCGCAAAGGGCGGAGTTCAAACCGCAAAAACTCCCAAGTATATATAAGCTGTTATATTTCCATCAAAGAAATACGGCCCCAATATCCGATTACCAACTATGCCAGCCCAAACATTAACTTTCTGTGGACTTTGGGTATGGCTCTCTTGCAACCAGTGTGGATTATCAGGGCTTCGCCATCGAGTATTTTGGGTATTGACGGTAGGTACCATGTATGTAAATTGTTGCTTTATCAGAAAAAAATATTTGATTCTTTAGGTTGGTCTGTTTTTGCTATGACTCCATTAAAGTTTTCCAAAACTGCGCTCTTCTGTTGGTGTCATCTGCTATCAATTCGTGGACAACATTTACCTTGTAAAGCCTCCATTTATTTTGCCTATCATTTTCTGTCATTGGCTTTCCGGATCTAGACAGATCTCTAACGTGTCCAGCAGCTCCTATCTCCGTATCCAACCATAATTAGGATTTCAATCCTTTGTTTCTCATTTAAACGCAACACCATCGTAATGTAAAGTTATGGTATTTGTAACTGTCATAATGATATTGAGGCCCTATTGCATTCGCTAACTGTCGTCTTCAAAACAATACCTAGCCGCTGTGATCGGGTAAACCTACCCAATCTACATTAAAACATGTACCAACCAAAACACAAAACATCTATAAATTCCCATTTTTTGCTGTGGCACTGTTCTCGCATCAGTTTGTGATACCGACTTTTGTTGTTATTTTAAACCATGTGCATTCCAATCTTCTGCGTTTTTTCGCACCTGTAAAGTAGGCCAAACCCTATATCGACGCATTTCCCTTCAAGAGGGATTTATGGTTAAAAAATTGACAAATTGACGTGTTTTAGCGTTTTTGTGAAAACGCAACACAAAACAAAACACGAATATTTTGCGTTACTTCTGGGACGCTCTGTATATTGACATGAGGGATTTATCATTTAACAGGTATACAATTAGGTAAATAAAAGTAATGAAATCATGAACACATATAGAAACATTAAATTTATGGTTATATTGAAAAACAAAGTATAATCCTCTGAAAGTTTCTTAGTGAACTAGTACAAACATTCTTACTTAAGAAAAAACATGAAACTCTACTGAATATGACTAATTAGGTGTAATTCATTATTAAGGTATTGCAAGTTATATGGGGATGACGCACAAAACCAATGGAAAAAGACTTTTCGTGAAATTGCTTGAAACTGTGGGATCAAGTAGGGCCTGACAGTAGACTAGGATTAGATACCCTATTATTTTAAATGTAAAATTAAGCTAGATTAGTATGCACGGTTTTGGATATACGTGAGCTGAAAGTCACTCAATATAGCCAAATCAGCACTTCCGGCAATTCAAAGAAATTCACTCAAATTCGGGATATGTGATGTTGATATTGTGTAAGAAAAAAACTTAAAAAGTCTTTGGAGATGTCCGTTTGGAGCCTCTACTACCCGTCTCGTGTTGGTTATTGGTCTCGACTCATTTGCCTCTTCAGTTGAGAATTGAGTCTGATTTGGCTTTAGAAGTGGTAGCATTTTCGTAATCGAACCAATTCTCTGTAAAGTGGGAATAACATATGCACGATCTACAATACATATATCTTGTTGTCGAAACCAGTCTCACATTCTATTAATATTTTTATTGCAAGCAAATGATAACTGATTTTTAACAGCTACTGTACATACACAATATTTTTGCGAGAAATTATTGCGCTTAATCACAATAAGGGAAATATTTGTTTAATTAATGAATTTACAAAATCTGATCCAATGAAGTATTTGAATTTTTTAAGAATGAATGAAGAAACATTTCTGAAACTGTTGAATAAGATTAAACATAGAATAAAAAAAGTAATTTTGTCGACAAACCATATCGGCTGCAGATAAACTAATAGTTACATTAAGATATTTAACTACTGGTGAAAGCTTTCGCAGCTTAATATATAACTATAGAATTTCAAGTGCTATATCACTATTCATTCCAATAGTATGCGAAACAATATATAAAGAATTGAAAACAATGTTTAAAAGTATCAAAATATTAAATAAATTACGTCACAACACAGGTTTGGATCGATATTCATCGTGTTTTTATTCTTTTTAGATTCTATCAACTTCTGTGGAGTGGTTAGAAATTTCAAGGGATTTTGAAACAACATGGAATGCTCCAAATGTTGTAGGGGCATTAGATGGGAAGTATATTGTAATTAAAGCTGCTAAAGATCTTGGATCTGCATATTTTAATTACAAAAACAACATAGTTTACTCTTATTACCACATGTTGATACAAAATATAACTTCACATATATAAATGTTGGGATGAATGGCAAATTATCAGATGGTGGTATATTTTGGCAAAGTGATCTGTCAAAATCGAATTTTCCCGAAGACAAACCTCTCCCTGGAAGATCAAAACCAGTATCTCATGTTATTGTGGCAGATGCAGCGTTTGCTCTATCAAATTATATACTTAAACTTTATTAACTTAAAAATATGACAACAGGACAAAGAATTTTCAATTATAGGTTAAGTAGAGCACTTCGAGTAGTGGAAAATACTTTTGGTATATTGGCTAACCGTTTTCGGGTACTGCTAAATATAATAAATTTAAGAACTGAAAAAGCAAACATTATTACTCAGACATCCTGTGCTCTTCACAATTTTTGGAAGAAAGAATTGAATACTACATATTTGGGAAATCGTTCGGATAAAACAGACGGTCAAACGTTTAGGTACCTGTTTGCATTGAGGAGGTAAACGTAAATGAAACACTTAATGTCAGAAAATAATTTAACGAATACTTCATTGGATGTGGAAGAGTACCCTGACAGGATGAAATTATTTAAGGATTTTTGAGTCACACAGAATAAGAAATAATTTTTTTAATAGTACGAACTTGTTTTTTTATTAACATATCTAGAAAAATAACTTATTTGTGTCTTCTCTTCGTGGAAAAGATATTTTGAATGATGTTTTCCTTTAATTCATCTAGGAGTACTTCATCGTCGATCTTCTCTATTTCGTCTACTATAAATCTGCAATGAAAGCAACACTTTATTTATGTACAAAAGTATTTTATTTTACTTCCATAATGAAGGAACTTACCTGAAATATACTTACCATCCGAATGTGAGATTTTGTAACGTATCCAGTGCTGTATCGAGAATACCATTTGTTTTTTCTTTTTCTGCAATGATCTTTATCTTTATTTTTCTAGAAAGCTCTTCACCGTCACTTCTTGATGGTGTTCTTGATATTGAAGAAGTATTTACATAGTACAATGAGGCAACATAACTACTCCATCACTTATTTCCCCATCAAAGACTATTTCACAAGAAAGCTAAAAATGATATTAAACCATTCATTAATATTACAAGAAAGAAAAGAAAAGGAAGGATGGGGGTTGTGACGTTGTATTTTACTTGTCCGTCACTATGACGCCTGAGCGACGGCGGTTACCTCGGGCGCCAGTTTCTGTTTAAAGTGTAGAAACACCACTACGCGAGCGGCTACAGTGAAGACACGGTATGTCCAGAGGGTCTAGAGAGAGTTAGACTTCACACAGGAATAAAAGGCCACAAATTGGTATATATTTACATTTATTTACAGTCCAATTCTACCTATTTACACTATTCTACTCTAAATCTATCGCTAAACGGTGACAAACAGCTACGGTTATATACAGGGGGTGACTACACTACGGAAAACGATAAAATAACGGAGCGGTGTTAAGCGGTGACCCGACTAAAGCAAAGCACAGCAGAGCTAGCGGAACGGTAAACAGGCAAACGGTTAATGCGGTAAGCGGTAGTACATACAGGGTAGGAAAGTACCGATGGTCTATCTGAAGTTACGTGAGAGTGATAAAGTAAGCCATAGAAATCCATGCGATAGAGAAGGATGGCTATAATGAAGGCTTCTCTTTGTCACCGCCCGTTTCGCCCTTCCACAAATAAGATCCAC